AAAAAAAAAAAAAAAAAAAAAAAAAAAAAAAAAAAAAAAAAAAAAAAAAAAAAAAAAAAAAAAAAAACTGGCTGAGAATAGAGATAGTTACTAGTTGGTAACTATCTTTCAGCTTAACTGCTGAATTGATGATGGATAACTATTATTTTCTCTTTTCTGGCATGGACAACTGAAACTACATGTGTAGCTCATCTCTTAGTCATCAAAAATCTAACTTTCCTTTGGTAATTCAAGTCAAAACCACCTCACACTTAAACTGTATAGGACTCGGTGAAGGGGGTGGTCATCTTTACCACACTCCCACACACAAAGACCTGACATAAAGGCCATGGAAGCACAGAATCTATTGTTATACAAGGACAGAGAGACAAATGATGTGTTAGATATTCCAACCACTAACTGGGGTTTCATTAGTTGAAAAATACAAGATGAGATGGTGTTTTAATGAATAGTCTCCAACTCCATTTAAAAAATGTTCTGTGGGAGACTACAACTGAACATTGTCCTTTCCTTCCAAATAAAAGATGAAGGAGAATGAGCTTCAACCATAGAGGGAAGGGCCTCACTATTACAGAAAATCAGAACTCTCCCTAAAAGGCTTCTCTGAGCTTGAAAAGAAATCTCTGAATACACTAAGGAACAGATAGATACCCACCTCTCTGCACCTACTAACCGGGAAGATGGCTTTGCTATGACTACATGCTGGCCGACTGCCCCGTCCATCCTCGGGACAAGACACAGGCAGAGAAGAGCAACACGTGGACAATTACAGGTGAATCTCTGTCAATATCTGAGTGACCTCCTGCATGGCACTGAATGGAGTAATACTTCTCTCTCTGACACTGACTTTCAACGTTTTCAGAGTTCAAGAGTCCTTCTTCCACATGACAATCTAATATACACAGCATCCTTCCCAAAACATAGATATATATGTATACATGATACACACACACAATATTAGAGTGTGCAATGGTGGCTAGAGGAAGAGGGTTGTATGTCCCAGGCTCCCAGTTCTGTCACCTCTTCCTTGTGGAATTCTTTAGGGCACAGGTTTTAAGGCAAGCTGTGAAGTGTTGTGTTCCTATACTACTGGATTATTTTTTGAGACTTCTTCCATGCAAACATAGCTACAATTGTAATCAAACATGAACTATTCAACAATGATTTCAGGCAGGATCTCTAATTTTTGACTTTCTATACAAAATTTCAGTCAAATGAGTATTGGACAAAGGATCTGAGCTACAGAATTAGGGAGTTACCTTTCTGAACTAGACGAACAAAAATATAAATTATCAAAGGAAGCCTCAATTTTTGATGACTAATAAATGAAACCAAGTAGTTTCAGTTGTCCATGCCAGAAAAAGAGAAGATAATAGTTATTCGTCAGCAATTCAGCATTTGATCTAAAAACAATTTCCCGCAGGGGGCGGTGGTGGCGCACGCCTTTAATCCCAGTACTAGGGAGGCAGAGGCAGGCGGATCTCTGTGAGTTCGAGACCAGCCTGGTCTACAAGAGCTAGTTCCAGGACAGGCTCCAAAACCACAGAGAAACCCTGTCTCGAAAAACAAAAACAAAAACAAAAAAAACAAAAAAAAAATTTCCCCTTGGGCTGGCTACAATTTGAACAGAAGTACACTGAAAGGAAGATATCCCTGCTCACTGCCAGGCTGATGAGCCAAAAGAGGACTCTGTCTGAAGACAAAAAAAAAAAAAAGTGACCTGGTACCACAAGAATATGAATTACTTCTCCTAGAGTTGATGGATTAAGATTTCCATGTCACCACAGAGGGGAATTAATGAAAATCAGAGTCAATCTTACACATACCAAACTATTCCAAACATTCCCCTCTAATGTTTCCAACTAGACCAAGGTATTGACTTAAGGAAAGCCTTCTCATTTGATTAAACATGATACTGAAGGCATGTTTGGGTGATACAATCCAGAATAACATAGAAAATAATCTTCAAATTTCTGTCTGTGTGGTTCCTTAGTGCATTCCAGGGTCTCTTTGGGATAAGAATAGGAAGGAAGAGGCCTTTAAATCAAGGCCCTGCTCTCCAAAGATGTACCTAAATCTTTCTCCACCCTCATAGATTTACTGCTACAGAGAAGCGGGTCACCTTCCTACCCACCCACCCCACCCCCGCCAGCTATACAAACCTCCTGAGATTCTTTTTTACCTACAAAATCCAACTACAAGTGTGTACACCAGGCACTACCAATGATTCCTCAAATTTAAGGACATTTTTCTAAAGTCACCTATCAACCCTCTCTACCTTTCCCACCCCCCAGTCTCTCTAGTCACAACTTAATTTTGTCACTTCGTCTTTTCTTTTTCTATTGCATCATATAGTTCCCCAATCATTCCCAATCTTTCTAACCATATGCTTTCCTAAGTAAGTTGAGCACACCGGCGTGCCTTCAACCACTAGATCAACAGCTCCACAATTAAAACATCTTCCTCCCAGAATGTTCTGCTTCCTCCTACTTTTCACACTTTGTTACACGCATCTCTACCTAGCGAGCTATGAGACTAAGAAATGCCTCTCTTTGCTTTCTTCCCGGTTCCCTACTCACACCCTCGAGGTCACAGACTATGACCATAAAGACACCCATCTTCTCCATCCTTCTACAAGTCTGCATCATAGTTCAGACACACATTTGCCCTTGCCCCTCTTATCACCTGTTTGGCTCTTGTCTCTCCAGCCCTCCTTCCCCACAGCTGCTAGTAATCTACTTATAGAACATGCCGAGTACACCTCACCCCACTTTTACATTGCCAGTATCTCCCTGTGCCTGCTTGGTAGAATTCACATTCCACATTTCTGAAATAAGTTCAGTTCAGGTGACTTTCTATAAATATGTGCCACCTTGCCTCAAAATGATTTTAAGGATAATTTCATTGTCAGGCATGGGGTTGTGTCTGTAATCTCAATTCCTGGGAGGCCGAGCTAAAAGAATTGAGAATTCGAGGCCAGTTTTTGTTAACTTTATCTTTAACTTTACCATCAGAAGATACTTTGATCTCCATTGGTATAAAACTCTGAAAACACGGTGATGTTAAAAATAAGTCAGGAGAGACTGAGATGGTTCAGTGGGAAGGACTGCTTGTTTTCCTTCCAAGGGACCCAAGTTCAGTTCCCAGTATCCATATTAGGTATCTTACAACCACCTGTAACTCAGCTCTGGCTGATCCAACACCTTCATCTGGTCTCTGTGGACACCTGTACGCATGTGCCATGCACACACACACACTCACAGAGAGAGAGAGAGAGAGAGAGAGAGAGAGAGAAGGCAGAGTTGAGGAGACACTTTGTAACTACTGAAGGAGTAACATGATACACTGGCAAACCATAGCGTCGTAGCAATACACAGCTTAATATAAATGGGTTAATTTAATAGTTAGAGCTAGCCAGTAAGAAGTCCAAGATATTGGCCAAACAATTGTAACTAATAAGCCTCAGAGTGGTTATTTCATAAACAGCTTTGGGAACAGGTGGGTGGAGAAAAACCAGTCCAGGGGGATCAGTAGTACAGAGAATATTTCTAGCTCCAACCAGTGTCCTAATTATATAAGGCAATCCTCAACTTTGAGCATGACATAATGGAGGAGGAGGAGGAATTGCTCATGATTAGTGGTTAGAGTATGAGAAAATAGAGTGAGGGCTATGTATTTCACCAGCCTGGGGCAAGTCACATAATTGAACTTTCAAGTATATCACCAGGAACAGTGGAGACAATAGCACCTACTTTCAATGTGACTGAGAGGATTAAATCAAACATTTAAAAGGTGCCAATGCCTGTGGCTGATGCTCCAGACTTACTTTCTTCGTTTCCCATAGAAACTACATTAAACATGACATACATGCTGATTAAGCAGTGTCCAGATGAATTAAATCAAATCCTATTTAATGTGCATAAACTTAGTTTGAAAGCCAAGACGACACAGCCATATCCGGGTCCTGGGCTAACAGGAGAAAGATCATCTTGCTTCCCACCTTCACACTTCATCGGGGGTGTAACATAAAAGGCATGGTATTAAAGCAGAACAAGGGTTGGGATGGCAGAGTGGGTCTTGCAGGTTATAGTGTCCAATGCATGGGAATGGATATTTGCAACAAGGAGGAAGTTGGTGAGTGAAGCTTTCAAGAATCGATTCAGTTCCAACCAGGAGGATGCAATACATGGACCATGAAAGAAGTGGTTTTGCCTGGCTTTGGAGGACTCGAGAGGCATTAAGCAGAGTGATAAGCAGAGTGAACGTCTTCAAATGGAAGAATAATAATAACTAACATGTGATAACACTTTCTTAGGAAGGCTTTCTTAGGAAGTTCAGGCACCTTTCTTTCCCTTGATGTAGTAAGAGGTAGTCAATACTCGGTAAAATTTCCTGAGTTTGGCTCCTAACTCCATCTCTCAGTGCTCTGGATGGTCTCGGAAAAGGAGGGTGAGCATCCATGCTTTCAATTATCTGTATGCAAGAATAATAACCATGGTGATGACATCACAGGGCTGTGCTAAGAATTCTCCCATACAATACTCTGTAAAGTCTGTCTTGCCTATGATATGTACTCATTGAACATCAGTTAGTATTGAGGTAAGATCAAGGGAATCTGAACTTCATGAGGAACCTCAGCACTCCATATAGTATCCTGAACTTCCCCCCAAAGGACAAAATGCTTTGGGAGACTGTAGAAAACACAGGAATTAATGAGTCCTGTATACAAGCACCTATGGCTATTTCTAATCACCTACATTGACAGAAAATGAGCTGGATGACAATATTGACAACAGACGTGAAAAAGGATAACAGTATAAGAGATCCCGAAAGAAGACATACAAGGGCACTGCTGCCAAAGCACATGGGAGTGAAGGGAAAGCCGGAAGGAGCATCCTTTTACACGGCTACCAGAACATCTAGAAGCTCAGCCACTTGTGCTATGTTTGTTTTCTATGAATATCTAGAGCTACAGAGCTTGATCGAGAATCTAGAAGAGTGACACACAAGGACCCTGTGCATCTCACTCATCAGATGTTATGCATGCACAGCCTCTCTGGAGTCAGCTCCATAAACTATTCTCCTGGTAGCATAGAAATGGATAGGCCAAATAGAAACCTGCAAGGCACCATCGGAAGTACAACAGTGCTCAAGAATTCCACTAACTCCAATGCTTAAAAGAAGCCAACTCTTCCCCGGTAGAATGGTACTTGATAGAAACAGCAGAAATCTACTATCATGAAAGCTGAAACGAGGCCAGGTTCATTTGGGCTTCTCGAAATCACCAGAGTATAGGACACACCCACACTCCACGCATGGCCTCTTTTTCTTAATCCATAGGTACAGTGTGCCAGCTGCCACCCGGAAGGAGGTTCCATCATCTAGCAGGCAGCACATTCATCAAGCTGTTTTGTTGAGTTTGCTCTTTGAGAGGGGGAAGGCAACGTACATATCCATAGAACAGAAGACCCCTTGTCTCTGCCTTCATTATTCACCTATTGGTACCTTACCTTCCCCAAGCATAGTAGAGAGGTACTGTTCTCATTTACTGAGACCTATAATGATGACCATGTATTCCCAATTCTTTTTAAATGTATCAATATTTTACAATGGATGATTTTTGCTAGCTGAAAACTTGTTTTAGAGTATATTTGTAACTATGTATAGGAAAACTTTTATAGAACAGAAAAGAAACAAGAACTAGAAAACACCACTATCAAATAAAATCAAAACTTAAAGTTACTAAGTGCTAACTTTGGTTATTTATAAATTATATATTTCTCAAGGATTTTTTTCTTATATTTCTCAGATACAAAGAAAGTGTCTTATAGCCTGGAAGGGAGGGTTGAAATTTTTAAAAATATTCTTATATAATTAAAAAAATTAATAAAGGTAAATAAATATGCTATGCCAAACTATTTCACATAAATCTATTTTATTCACATATTTAAGAGACATAGTTTATCTTTTGCCTTGGAAAACTATGCTCCAAGACAGCAGGGAATTATGGACCAAGTCAAAGTCCAAAAATGCCTTCATGAGAAGGAGCTTACAACTAGCAAGTTGCTTAACCAGAGTGTTGCTGGCTTTTGATTTTTTTTAAAGAAGTTTTGCTAGCTTGACAAAGACTTTTAGTGAGTTTAGCATGTAAATGGAAAGGAAATATATCACCTAATAATTGTCTTGAAAGCCATCTGTTAGGCTTTTAAACAGGAAAATGGCAAACACTCCCATTCGTTTCTAATCTGCTGGTGTATTTTATTTGGAGTCCAAATGTTCAGATCCGCAGTTGTCAGGCTGTGACTAAGAGACAAGGGATGGCAGCAAATGTGCCCATTCGAAAGTAGAAATTACTATGAAAAGTCACAAGACGATTAAGAGAAAACACAGAGCTGTGTCCCTAGAGACAAGCATCCACTCACTAAGACAGTTTCTTCCTGGTTAGTTTCCACAGAGACAGGCTTTTGCTAACTCACACATACATTAGGTCTGCAGCAGAAACCAGAGAACTGTGAAGTAAGAAAAACTACAGGTAAACATCCCAGGAGACTGGTGGACCACGTCTCCTGAGACGCAGCTCATGGAGGATGTCTGAGAGCTACAAACTAAAAGTTGGAAAGATCTACTTCCTCCACAATCTGTTAAAAATAGACCAGTATATTTTTGCATAATATAAATAGCAGCCTGTACTGTACGAGCCAGAGGCTAGAACAACAGTCTCCAGATTGAAATCTTTGCGCATCTGAGACAGATGACTAAGAACCCTCCCCCTAAACTTACCTGGGACCTTGAAACGTCCCTCAGTGGCGAGCTTCTCCCTTCTCCAGAGTGTGTGGCTTTTGAAGTGGCTGCCTGGTCTTGCAAGAGCAAAGAAAGGGGTGTGGAAGAGGACATGCTTGCCACATCTTCTCCTGGGGCTGCCTCCTTTTCACTGGATGAACCCAACACAAACTGGGTGGAGTCAAGCTTCGGGGCAGGGGCTATGACGAAATTCTGTTGAGCTCTCTTGACAACCTCAACACCGCCATTGTACTTCCAGCTGTCGTCCATCTAGATAGGAAACATCATTTTAAACCCCATATTCTGCTAGCCTTGGGTTCACTTTTAAAAACAATTATTCATATTTGAAGGCCACTAAAATAACATCCACCTGCCACGAAAAAGTAACTATTGTCAAAAACATGGGGTGCATTCCTTCACCAAATACGCACCAGCAGAGAAACGCTTTTTCTAATAAAAGCATGGTTATGTATAGTTCTCTCAAACTTGCTTTGTTTGTTCATACTACTCCAGGTCAAGAGATACAACTGCAAGCTCGGTCTTTCCATTGCTGGAAACCCCACAGTGTGGATGTCTCATTTCTACAGAGAAAACAGCAGCCCTGTACCCATGAGCAGGAGGACACCTGCATCTCCACCTCCTCAGCAATGCACAGATTCAGCATTTAAAATCCTTGTCCGTGAGATGGCTGAGCAGTTGTTTACCTAATCCTCAGGCTCACAAGGCTACACACGCCTCTTTGTACTCTCCTTACATTCCTTTCCGTTGAATTGGCCAGCTCCTTTGCTGTGTTTATCTCCTCTCATCAAATTATAAGAATACTTTGCACCTTAGAATTGCCAACCCTTTATCTACAATGCAGTTTTTAATATCCGTGACTTAAATTGTCCTACATACTGCCTGCTATACAAGTTTAATTTTTATGTTGTCAAATAGGTCTATATTTTCCTTCATGGGATGGTCAGGGATTTCCTGGCTGATTTACACAGGCTTCCTTCAGCTCAAATTCTGATTTCTTAAGCCATAATTCTCATCTATATGTCAAGATTTTAAGATCTTAAGGGCTAGGTGGACAGAACTGACAGGAACATGAACATTAAATATTCAGACATTGTTTCATTTACATAATTGAGTCTAACATGTCCTCAGTGTGCTGAATCCCATTAGAGACACAGGGGGACATATTTCAACAAACATAGACTCAGGCATCAAGTTCTAAAGTCGGAAGGAAGGATAGAACAAAACCTTACCTATACAATCCTCAAAACATTTGAAGGGAGCCTTTTAAGAATGTGCTATATCATAGGTAAGAAAAGAGCTGATTGCTGGCAATTTCATAATGCTCAACTTAAAGCTTCAGAAGAGCTCAAAAGAAGGAAAAATATGGCAAGAAAAAATGTTCTGTCTCAAAACGTATCTTATTTGTTCTTTAAAGTTTAAAACCTCTGTTTTTATTAAATCTAAATTTCATGAAAGTTGTTTGTATACGTCATCAACATTTTACACATCCTGTATCTGTCCAACTGAGCTTCTGCTCAAGCTCCCCAACTCATTGCTCTTGGGAACAGACTAAATGAACCTAGGACATTTTTACCGTGTAGGATCTGGGCAGTGATGAGATTCCCCTTGACTGCGTGCCAAAAGGTCTCGCTGTGACCACAGATGTTAACCTGGCTGTATCGGCTTTCTGGTAACTTCTAGGGAGAGAAGCTGAAATCCGAGTCGACTCTCCTCTGGTACTCAGCGACTGCTGAAACGAGAACGAGACTGGACGCAGTGCTACTGAAGATAAAGAGACCTTGTGTGGCTCGGCGGAAGATAAAGAGACCTGGTGCTGTTCTATAGAAGACAAGGGGGCCTGGTGAGGCTCTGCAGAAGACAAGGGGCCCTGGTGTGGTTCTGTAGAAGACAAGGGGGCCTGGTGAGGCTCGTCAGAAGACAAGGGGCCCTGGTGCGGTTCTGCAAAAGACAAGGGGCCCTGGTGTGGTTCTGCAGAAGACAAGGGGGCCTGGTGTGGTTCTGCAGAAGACAAGGGGGCCTGGTGTGGTTCTGCAGCAGATAAAGGGGCCGGCCGCTGCCTCTGCTCTTCAGGAATATGAGAAGACTGCTGAATCTCAGCTGCTACACTGTCCTGTCTCTTTGCAAACGTTGTGGAATCTTCTTTGGCCGTCTCGGCAGGATAAGCTGTTGTCTTGTCTCCCAGTCTCTCTCTCTGATAGCTGGTTTCAGACAGAGTCACTGTAGGATGAAGTACTTCATCATCCAGGGCATCATCGGCAGAATACATCCTCCTTGTAGAATTCAGAACTCGAGATTCCCTGGGCAGAGAAAAATGCGCCATTTCAACAGAGTTATGCATTTGCCCCCAGATGGGGTAAAGCAATAACTGATATGTAAGTGGTTACTCACGGAAAACAAGAATCAGCACAACACTAACATGAGATTATGCATAACTTTTAAGCATCTGTTAAGAGACTGACCCGACCTTTGATTAAAGAGGCTCTCAATGGATATTTTTAATCATAAACTATTTTAATAACAAAATAAGGAAGGTCTCACATGGGACTATTTGCAGGTTCTTAGCCACAAATTTATGTCTTCCAAGATCAAAATGCTTTAAATGACTGGCCACCGATCTGAATCTGCCAAGTTTTGCTATATAAAATGTATAATGTATTGGTAAAAAAAATAATAGCACAGAAGACTCAGGACTTTATAGAGCACCAGTCAGTTCATGGAGCTTGACAGACTCCCCAAGGGCAATTATAATAGATTCAAGGTTATTATCCATACGTAAAGAGCTGATGAAACAGCTTCTCCCTGCAATTGGTGGGGAGTCCCCACATCCCTGGCTGACTGCTGGACTTAAGGGAATGGAAGTCTTGAGCACCGGCGTTTCAGACACAACGGAGCTTTGTTTAATTTCACCTGGCAGCAAATTTCCTTTGTGACATTATTTCTAAAGCATATTTGCTCTCTCTCCTCCAGATCCACACAGTTAACTGCTCACATGAAAGTTTAAATTTCACTTTCCTCCTGCCATTTCAACTCAAAGAATAAACCCACACATCCACACTTACATAGATAAACATATTATATCTTTCAACATAATTTATTCTCTACCACTAAAATTGAACAAAGATCTCTCTTAGATTTCACAACATTTATTTAAAAGTAAAAGTTGATTTTATTTGACTACCCTATGCTTAAACTTTAAAAGGAGAAAAACCAGTGGGTTTGGGTTTTTTATCTATTTTTGTTTGCTTTGCTATCAAATATAGCAAAATAACCCCCCCACACACAGAAGACCGTACAGTGTGAGACAAAGAGCCCTGTCCACCAGTGCTAAGTAATATGCTCTTTTGCTGCCCAGATCAGTAATATTGTTTCAGTGCTTCAGCCTGAAACCCTGGCTGCTTGGGTCCATACATGTCTACAGTTGAAGCTGGTGACCACATACCCCACCCCATGCAGAGTTTCCATTTCCCACACTGGGATCTCCAAACGCAAAAGACCCCGGCCCTTTACCTGTCCTGCAGCATTTCCCTAAATGTCTTGGAGCTTCGGTCAGACTTCTCCAGGGCCAGCTTTTCGATCTCTTCCCTCTCCTCCTTCTTCTTCTGCAGATCTGAAGTGTAACTCTTCCGGCGACTTTTCCATTTTGCAAGATCCTGACAAGAAATCCCATTGGCCCGGTCATACCTGAATTTCTACACACTTTTTCCTTGCGGCGGGAGCATGCTGGGGTGTCCTATTACAACGCTGAAAGCTCTCACGCCCACCTGTGCCAAGGTGCCCTATTTTTGCTTTTTATAGCCAGTGTTTTCTGTACTAAGCCTTTATCTCATGTGCCTGACAGAAAACCCTGACCTAATAAGAGATCCCACTTTTGTTATCCAGGAAAGTATCACATCAATGTCCATTTCTCAAAGAATACTTAAGGTTTACAATTAAGTACTAGGTCAAGTTGATCAGGAAATATTTCAAACTCAATCTCATAGGACCTCAAACCCCTGATTCACATGCTTACTGTGATGTGAGGGACAGAAACGTCCCTGTAACAGTCCAGCTCAAGTAAATGGTCGATCTTATTAATGTAGGTACACAGATACCTATAATGTGATTCCCCTCAACAAGGTAGACTATGCATAAAGATCAGTGCCTAACAGGGTAGGTCTACTGAGAAGAACAGGGGTCTTAAAGGAAAAGTGAGTTCTACCTACAGAAGGAGAGACCACAAATCGCCTTGGACCGACTATGATTTCAGAGAAGATAGTCCACTGGGGAGAGAACAGGGACCGTCATAGTGGCACACGCCCATACTTGCTTCCCACATCATCAGAAGTATGTTTTAAATCAGCCTGGACAATCTATCCAATGCAGGCATCCCTAGTTGCAGGAGCCAGTTGTGACACTCAGGGATTGAAGCATTTTGAATGATTCAAATATTTCTCCATTTCCAAATCAGAGAAACACTATACTAAGGATTTCAAAAGAAATCCCAGTTCAAAGGGAAGTATACTCAAGGTCTCAGACCAAACTGGACCTCATCCCAGCTTTCCCAAGTTTGCCTATAAATCTTTTGGGGTACCCAGGGCCAACCCTGCTTTTCAAATGTCCTGAAACCAATATGGACTATTTTTCCCAAAAGAAATAAATTGACCCAAATGTTCATCTGCTCACACCTAATGGGTATCCCACCTCGATAGTCATTTTCTTATAAAAAAAAAAAAAACTTGTTGTGTGTTTTGGGAAAGTAATACTAATTCTTTACTGGTTTTTACAGAGATTGAGGGTTGAAGTTGGAGCATCACACACAAGGCAAGTTCTAACACTAAGCCCATAGTGCTGTTTCTTGATCATTAAATCAAGTTTCATACTAGAGGGCACTGGAGTTTAGCAATGTACTATCTTCAGACATTAAGATTGGCTTTCTCTGGTGCTCTTGTTGCTCTTGTCACTTAGCCCTCTTACCATGAAGCTGCGCTCTAACTTCTTTGGGCTTGGGAGTCTGGTTTATCTTTTACAGATCCTTATATTCCTACAGCTTATAATAATTACCTTGCTCAGCTAAAAGACTTATACTTTCTTCTCTGAGATTTGAGATAAAGGTTAAGTCTATGTCTACATAAACACTTGGATAGACCAGCTCTCTTGGCACAGTTAATTTTGAATCGCATTAGATACTGACTTCAGTCAAAATATTACTCCGGGTTGTATTTCATCCCAATCTCCGAGTAACTTTGAGAACTCTTCGTCTCTCCCCACTGATGCCAAGATCTGAGCTAGATCCTGTTCCCCTTCAATCTCAATTTTGATCAATGCTGTTTTGCTAGCAGAGGCATAATTAATGTAGTCATACCCCACTCTCCTGTGTAAGCAAGTTTACTATCCTGCTAGGCAGGAACTTTCTACTCTTTGAGAGCTCACAGTCTCTTGGAAAATAAGCATATTTCTATATTTTTAGGATGGTCTTTAAGACATACAACAGTACATTTTCTATAGTACTAAATGCTAAAATGTCAAGGAAAAATGTCTCTTAAGTACTTTAATTTCCTCGAGAGAAGCAGGAAGCGCACCATGGTCCCCCTCCCCCCCCCCTCAGTACTCACGTCCTGCCACTTCTGATCTTGCTCTTTCAGTTGGGATTTGATTTTCTGCATCTCTTCGTACCGCAGCTGACGCAGGTTCTGAACATCCTCTGCGGTGACATCGCTCATGGACTTGCTCCTGTCACAAAAACACCTACCATCACAAAGGTTCTTGTGGCTGGACCTGAGGGCTCACATGAAGACTGGGCTTCTATTTAGAAATTCCACCTAAATATCTACTGCCCTACCCAGATGCTTTGTTGATAGTGCCCTGAAATAGCACGACACAGATAAATGGTGTTTTTCCAAAGCACAGAAACGAGAGCCTGGCATTCAACTCAGGTGTGAGATGCTTGTGTTTTTTTTTTCCACAAAATGGTCAAAGTAACCTTGAACAACTAATAATGCAGTGCTTGTTATAACCTCTAAGAATAACCTCTAAGATTATCTTGGGGGCAGGAAACCACCAGTCACTAACATCGCGTTACTGAATTTGTCTATGCTCCCTCAAAGATAACCTAGTAAAGTTTGACTGGTTTTGCTAGGCACTTGCTAAATAATTTAGTGACTACCTGATATTTTCTCCTCAAGTTCAACACCAGGAAAAGATGTGCTGTGTCTTCTCAACAATTCTCTAAGGTCTACAGTACCACTGCGCAGCTGGACCGACTCTCAGAAGACCAAGGTAGTTTCCCACAGCCTGTCAGAACCACCTCAGATTCCCTCTCCTTCAAGGCAGGGCTCACAGCCTCATTTGCAGCCCCATACATGGACATTCACAATCAGGAAGTAAAGCCGGAGTAGGGTTTCAAAGCCAGTTTTCCCCATTACTGTCACATATTTTAAAGGCTGTTGTAAAAAACTATTATCTTCTGATAGACTTTGAACTCTCAAAGAGTATAAAGCTGCTTCCCAGCTGTAGAAGAGAGGCTCATTCACTTAAATTAGCAACTAAGTTGGACTATGACTAGTGAGTGCTCCTATACAGACTACGTGGATGAGAAAGACCTCCCAGAAAGGGAGGGTTTAGGTCAGCACAGAGAGCAGCAAGAGGGCCATAGATCCAGAAAGTTTCGGAGGCAGATGAAATGTTCTTTGCTATTGCGTATTACATTCTAAGTAATTATATTAGTCATTGTATTAGTGAATCCTTGGGCACCTAAGTTCTGCATTCTCCCGACAGCTCGCCATCACGGTTTTTTTTTTTTTTTCCCATCAAACTAGGTGGGTTCCAGAAAGCAAAGGTAACTACCATGCAAATGCCTCTAGAGGCTACAGCCTAGGACCTGCCCTCATTGACTCGTTTCCAATTCCTCATGAATAGGCATTTATTCCTGAAAAAATACCCTAGGTACCTTGACTGTAAAGCGACCTGCTGCAATGTTATCTGGAAAGGAGTTTTTTAAACTGCACCTCGCTAAAAACATGATGTTATTGTTGGCGCAGCCAATCTCTATCCTGCTTTCCCTCTGTGGGGGTTAAAGGTGGTGCGTGCCCTCCGTCATCTGCATTTGAAACCCAAGAACCACTTTTCGCTTTTGTTTCTCTCTCCTCCTCGCTTTCAGTTAGTTATCTTCTCGTTTAATGCCGCTTTCCTTTCCATTCTGCTCGCCATCACGGTCTAGATCAAGGCACAGGCCACCCTCCTCTGGATTGCCAAAAGGCCTGCTTAAATGATCAGAGAAGGCTTTCCTCAAATGCTCCCTCCAGCCCAAAAGTTCTTCGCTGGTGCCTCTCTCCTTTTGTAAAACGCCATTCAAAACCATGGCTAGGCTCACTCCACAGTTACCGGCTCACCATCTGTCTTCCTCAATTCAGTGAAGGTCAATTCCATCCTTCAGAGTTGGGACCAAAAAGCTTGGAGTCACCCAGATTCCTCTTCTTCTTCTCCTCATAACACTTACTCTATCCACAACTCTTCTGCTCTCTGTTTCTACATCTAACCGTTCTCACCTCTTCCTCCTCACCATATTGACCTACACCATCACGTCGTCTGCTTGGAGAATCCCAAAGATCTTCCCGCCTCCACCACCCAGCTTCAACATGCTCAAAGGAGCAGCTAGAGGGGCCTTTCTAAGTCTCAGCTAGGTCATGGCACACCCATCTCCGGACTTGAGCTTCTTCCCATCGAAATTCTAAGTAGATTTCTTCAACAGCCTGCATGGTCTGGCATGATGTGGTTCCTTCCTGCCTCTCCATGCTCATTTCTAACACTGTGCCCTGGTCTCACTCTCTGCCTGCCAAGTGACTGTCTTGCACATACTCATGCCTCTTGCTTCTCCCCTTGCTCTTCAATCTGCCATAATAGTCCTTATCCAGCAAGACAGCAAGAAGCAATGACTTTGCTCCACCTCCAAGCATCCGCTTAAATGTTATGCAGTGCTTCCTTCTCTTTCCAGCCTACGAGATTCTACCAATGTCTCTCGGGGCTGATCCCACCCTAACCCTCTCTCCTCGAATGTTTATTGACATCTAGAATAGTCTTACTCCCTGTTACCTGTAAGATTATTGGGAATTACGTCTGATTGTGCTGATATATCACTAGGTTTAAAACAAAGACCGGCGCGTAGCGAATACTCCATAAATGCATCCGATCGATGACCTAGATAGTGCTCTACCACTTGCTTACAGACTTTGTGGCTCTTCCAAGGGAAAAGTGAGCTGCCCCTTCTCTCAGCTGTTTAGCTAAAGCATTTTTCATGATGCTAATTCTTGACTCTATCTTATATATGTACAAGCATACCTAGATCGTCCCTCTCACAAGCCATATGTTATTTGGAAAGAAAATACTAGCTAGCAGAGCACCATACACGCAGATTCACTCACTTAGTATCTGTGCTAAGAGTTAGCCGGAGCACAGTGAGCCTGAACTGGCCTGTGGGAAAGCATCACTTTTATAGCATTGCATAGGTTTAGTAGGTAATCAATTACATATAGAATTATGACTATATTATGAATATGAACCTACACATGTATAATATACCTCTCACTAGGTCTAACTATATACTAAATTAGATTGTGTGGATTTAAAGCTATACACTGACAGAAGTCATGCCTACAAGCAAAGAAGCCTTTTGAGTTCAAACAAAAATACTCAGTAAGAAATGGGAAGAAAATGTGTGGAGGTCCAAGACATACGGGGAGGATGGCCGTGCATCACATGACGCTGCACAGACTGGAAAACAAAAAGGAAATATTCATTCATAGTCCACTAGTCTTTCCTTGGGAAGAGATTGGAATCACTTTGTAACCAGCCCAGAACTGCCTGTGGCTGCTCTTCTTACTTCCTCCTGGCTTGGGAAGCACTGCTGGGGGGCTTTCCCACACAGGATGCCAGTCAAAGGTCAGGCTGCCTCTCCCCACTGCCTCAACGCTGAGCTAAGCCTAGCAGTCCAGAGGCACATGGCAAGAACAAAGCTGAGCTGAACCTGGCCTAGGATAGAAAAGTCTTTTTTTTTATAGGCGAGGTTGTGAGCAGAGTTTGTTTCTGGGTTATGGAAAGTTACCCCCCATTAAAGCAGCAGCACCTGCCATAGGAATCTGCGTAGACTTCAGCAAGAGACAAGAAGTCGGGGCTTTAGATTCAGCTGCAACGTAGGCTTTTCCCTCCCACTGAACAGACATCAATTAGTTCCCTTCTTAGAGCGTTGGCTCCTCCTCTACTAAGTTACGCTAACTAGGTAAGGCTGTGCTGGTGCACTTTTTACAAACCTGGGGTTGTATACTAATTCTTACTAAGGCAGATGTGACCAAATGAAACCGTGTAGATGCTAACGCTATAAACTGCTTTCACATTAGAATGGTGGCCCCAGCCCACACAGATAAAATCTAGAACTTCTAGAGTACAAAGATGATGAAGTCTCTCTTTCTTTATCAGCATTAACCGCATGACATTAAAGTCCCAGGAGTTCCCTGAGTGGCAACAACCCTGCCAAGCAGTCTCTGTGAGTTGCCTCATGAGGCACAGCCCCAGTCCGGTTCTACTACTTGAGAGCCTCCATCCTTGGGAAAGCTGCAATCTCCGTCTACGGAATGCAGATAACACCCACCTGTCTCCCTCACAGAACTGAGATAAGCACCAAAGAAAGCATCCAGGAAATTACCAAGGACAGCCCAGCACGGACAATGAGCGGGTAAGTCATGCCGTTCTCTTAAAACTGCCTGCTACAGTTCGTTATAATTCCTTCTCTTAGAAGTGCCTGCTACTATTGGTTACAATTCCTTATTCTGAAGGCTCTAATTTACAGCTTCGTTTATATTTGCAATCCAAAAATGCAGGTGTACCAAACATCTTGCCTTTTCAATTAATTTAACAGTACTAGAGGGGAGGGAGAGGAAGAAGTTTAGGAAGGTCACCTACAAATCACTGATCTCCTTGTACTTCTTTGACTACAAACGGTGCTCCTGGCAGTTTCAGAGGGAAATAAGGGCCATTATCCTGAAATCCAGCTTCAGTGAACTTACAGCCGACTGTCTAGAGCAGTGGTTCTCACCTTCCTAATGCTGTGACACTTTAATACAGTTCCTCGTATTGTGGCGACTCCAACCATAAAATTCTTTTTGTTGCTACTTCATAACTATAATTTTGCTACTGTTATGAACTGTAATGCAAATATCTGTGTTTTCTGAAGGTCTTAGGCGACCCCTGTGAAAACATTGTTCAAACCCCAAAGGAGTCACAACCCACACTTAAGAACCACTGGTCTATAGAAGAGAGAGTCCAAGGAGGCAATATAAGGCACATTTTGCAGCTTTGGGTAGCAAATAGAAATTTAAAAAGAGTAAGTTAAGGATTGATACCTGTGAAATCAATGTAAATATAATAATTTATCTAACATGTATATTTTCACTGAACCCTATACGGTTTTGTGAACAATTACCAGTGTTAAAAATCTGTGTGACACATTTTGAAATTACCATCAAATAAAATAAAGAGAGCATAAGAAGAAATTTTCATTTAGAGATTTGCCTACTTATTTGGGCTTTTCAGCACCAACGCTATTAACATTTCAGCCAGAAATGGTTTGCTGTAGAGAGCTCCCCTGGGGTTACCCTGGGTACTGTAGGACATGCACAAAGCAGTAACTGTAGATAGCACACACACTTGGCTGCAATATGAGAAGTATTCTAGATATAACTAGACGTCACCTGTAGTGGAAAAGAAAATCTGCAGAAAATAACCGAAGTCTACTTGTCTCCCTTCCTTTCTGCCTGCCTTGATGACATATCCTGATAATCCTACAAAGCCATTTGGTCAAGCTCTATAAGAAAAGTGTAGCTTCTTTAGTTGTCTTTGCCAATTCACATGTAATTGGTATTTATCTCCTTGTGATACTGATAAGAAGTTCAGTGGCTATCACATTATACAAGATGGTGTATACATTTTCTTGTTAACTTTGTCAGTACCATGTTTGTATCAGACCCAACCAGTCCCAAAACTTCAGAGAACCACACAAATGGAAATTCATGCAACACAAAGACACACACATGAGAACTGGAAGCCACACAGAAAGCATCATAATAAACACAATGTGTTACATGCCAAGTAAAGCTTAGTAAAACACTTACATATCATGCACAAGCACTAAAAACCACATAAACTGCAAGCTAGGACTTACTAGGCAAAGAACCAAAATAAAATACTACACATTTCTCTTCAAATTGGTCTTTACCACAAAGAAAGTATTCACAAGATGGACAGTTAAGTTTTTAATTACAAGGTATAAAACAGTACTGCTTTTCTACGATATTATTTTTGGAGAAAGTTCACCTAGCATAACTATGAAATAAGTTGTACATGAAATGCCTACACGTAATTCAATTTTAACTTATATTTTAATCTCATTGTAAGAAATCAATGTAAGGAAATCACCGATAACTATAAACTTAGGAGAAAAAAGGAAAAAAAAAAGGAATAAACCTACAACTTCTCCTAAACAGAGCTGCATTTTCTAAGACACACTAAGTCCCCTTATCTCACAAGTCATGTATTATTCATTGGTCTCAATTAACCAGTCATCTTGCTTTATTTGTGGAGCAGCCTTAGTACTACCCTGCATGAGAATTTTTGAAACAGCTTCTAAAGCAAACCCTGTGTTATCCAAATAATCAAAAAATTACTTGGAATTGTCTAGTGGAAGCATTTGCTGCTGTCTGTTAAGGATCAGAAAAAAAAAAATACCTTAGCATCCTGAGGTTGAATATCTAAGTTTTCATGGTGTTTGTGGTTAGGGTGGGTGCAGAGTGTTGGGGAATGAACTTACAGCCACAGGCAAGCTAGGCATGAATTCAACCATTGAGCCAGGGTAATTCAAGTCTCATAACATACCCTACACTATGGAAAAACAGGTAGGGTCAAGACAGATAGGTAGTTAGTTATGTGTTTACATTGCTCAAGTACTTAGACTCTCAGTACCTGTACCGCCTTTAGAAAACTGTTCCAGGGACGTGGTTTGGCTACAAAGTCAAACATGATTACAAATGAAAATTCCTCATGAAAGTTTAGAATGCTTGAAGGCTCAAGAGGACTTTAAATCAAGTTAAAACAGCATTCCTATGACAAGTATGATCAGATATTGGCGTGTTATACCAAAGACTGACTTCTCCACCCTCACAGATGAGACCCTCGTGAGCACACAAGGGAGAGAGGGACAATGTGCCTTCACACGCCATCCGGGAAGGAGTCATTGTCACGGTTGCCCCTCACTCAATCATATTTTCGATATCTAGAATTGTGATAGTGATATCACGCTGTGATAATTCAGCCAGAATCTTGGTAGCTTCTAAATATTTCTAAACTACCGAGATTATTAAAAAAAAAAAAAACTCTTAAAATTAGAGATTCTGAGAGACAAGATGAACCATGGTAAGGGGAAGATACTCAAGTCCCAAGACTGATTAAAATATTGGTTTTTTTTTCAACTTTCACTATCTTCCTCAAACTATTACCAATAACTTCCACAGTTACAGAGAGCCTGGGGATGCTGGGTTGAGAATAACTGACTCAGTTTAAAATAGTCTAGAACTTGGAAAAACATTGAGAGAGTCAGTTTTATATTAGTCATGTTTGCCCAATGAATATTAAATACCAATAGACCAAATCTGAGAAATAGTTTAAATAAAGTTCTTATAACAACATTGGAAACTACCAAGATTATTTTATAATTTTGAAAGTCTACTTTGCTCTTCATAGGCAGTCATGTTACAACTAATCAAGAACCTTAAAAATATTTCCCCAAAAATATTAACATTCCTCACTAGAAAAGCTCCTCATAAGCTAAGTGCATGAGTTTTGCAAGCTGCATGAATTCTTACATTAAGCAAGCAGTTAATGTCTTTCCCTATCATAGACTTTACCAAATGCAGTTTGTCGGGGAGACTGTCAAGAACTAGAAACCAGAAGCTTAGTGAATTTTAGGAATCAAATACCAAAATGAACATATTCTTGGGCTCTTGCTACTTTCAACCATTAAATGAGAAGTAAAAGGGATGGAGTTAAAATTAATACAGCAAAACTGTTATCGCTTTACATAGCAGTTCATGCATTGCACTGGGCATTTAGATGCAAAAATACTGCTATGTGGAGGCAATGTTAGTAAAAAGTAAATAAAATTCCCATGCACTGGACATTGCAGCCCATTTAGTAACATGCTAAGACACAGGTGCAGCAAGTCACAGGAGACACAAACAAATGTGCACATTTGTTGTTAGCGTGAACCACAAAACTTACCCATTCTCACCATAAATCTTTTGAAAGAGTCTAAGAAACCAAAAAACCAAAGGTTAAAAGGGTCACTCTTTCCAGCTGTGTTAGTTTATCAGCATTAAACATCTTTAAATTGAGTCTAACTGGAAATGGGCGAATCTGAACAAGTTGGCCCTTAGCCACTTCTTAATATTTCAAGTTTTAGTCAGCCTCCTGGAACTCGAGTCAAATAATAACAACATTTTCTTAATGTATTCTGAGCCAGCGAATTCGTAAGACAAGGTCTCCCCTTGCCAGGAGCTAAGGTAGAGATTTAGGGCCATTCATTATATTCAGCCAGGTCAAATTTGCCCATTCCCAACTTACAGTGAACAGAACAGCTCTCAGAAAGTTGCATGGCTTATGTTACCCAAATGGTCACAACCACAAACAGAGTTTGACAGACTCATGCATTTTAATGGTGCTTGCACTGAACTCTACAGATAAAACATACTGCAAATTGATAGTTCAGGAAACCTAGATCAACAACAAAAATCAAGTTAAATGAAATCTGCAACGACATATTTTAGGAAAATATTTAGCTCAATAAAAGACACTGCAAAATAGGATAAACACATAAAACCAAACCACAGCCAGACTACTACAGAGATGCTAGACATGAGGATAAAAACCTGCAAACACAATTAGAAAATACTTTCATCCAATTTCACACTGGAACAAAATGATGGACAAATCCAAGCCAGAGGCAAGCTTTGCATATACCTTCTCAAATCATCCTAAGACGTGTAAATATGGAATTGAACTTCTTCCATGAAATGACTAAAAAGTTTCTCATAGCCAAATAATTGTTTACAGGATGCTTCAAAACGGCACACAACATGCAGAGCTGAGAAAACTGAGGCGGCTTTTTTTTTTCATAAGGAAATTTACACAAGACCATCATCCATCACAAGCCAAATCCTTGCAGAAACACACTCTGACCTCTCAACCATCAGCCGCTTCCTGTGCCTAAGTCTGCTGGCCTCCCGGATGGCCTCCCACTTCTGCAGGTCGGCCTCACTGCAGGGGCCAGGCTTGAAGCTGACAGGAGGCACAGCAGTCCCCAGCTTCCATGACTGGATCTTGCGAGTCAACATGTCGTCTCTCTTCTGTCGGTGGGAAGGGACTAAGACTCGGCAGCTACTGCTTCTTTCTTTGGGTGGGCATGTCCTTTCGAGGGCACAGAGAAATTTCGCTTGGATTTCTGGAGGTAGGGTCCAGGGTTCAGGAAAAGGGACTGGCTGGTATCTGTCGGGGGCCCCAGACAGTGGCACCTCTTTCTTCTGTGCTGGGATCCGACGAACAATCATATCGTCTTTTTCTAAATCTGGAAGTACAAGTTCACCTTCCCGACACTGCAAAATTATATCTCGTTCAACAGCATCGTCTGGCTCAGAGAACCTTCGAAAGTCTTCAAAGGCTCGAAAAACACAAGGATTTGCACGGAAAGCCCCAGTTTTTCTGACAAAGAAATCATCATTTTCTAAGTCAGGATCCAAGGCTGTCAGCTCAAGGTCATCTGCTTGATAGCCTGGCGTGTGAGAGAGATTTTTTCTGCGAGTTATGAGCCTTGGGCCAGAGGTGGGATCGAGTTTGACATTTGTATCCGAAGACAAGATGTCATCAGAGTATGTCTGAAGGGCCTGAAGCAATAAAAACTGACTGAAGCACAGAAAAGAAAAAGGAAGGGAGAGTTGTATTAAGTATAAGAAGAATGGTAATTAGCCAGCAAACAAACCAGTACTTATCGGGATGAATTATTAGGAGCCACAGGAGGGAGTGTAACAAACAAGACAAATGCTCAGCACTAGTCTCTGTGACTTTCCTGGGTGTCATCTAAAGAGACAGCCACAGGTTATACTTCCCAGGAAATTTGAACGCTGTCAAGGACAAGAGATGGATCTGTAACTCTGATCATGTGAACCTCCCTGGGATAAGCATAGGTACCAGTCCCGGTACCATCTTCCTAATTCTATTCTCCATAGTAGCCTCATCCCCTCCCTAGAGAAGGATGCATGATCTTAGAAAGTGATCAGTTGGTCATCACATACTTTGCATCATAGTGCACATCATGGTCGTAAAAATAACAGAGTGGTCAAGAGGCTTATAAAAGTCCTTCTGTGTTTTTAGATTTGGATTCTCCAGACTTACCCTTCCCAGTGTCTATCTAAAAGGATTTCCTTTCTCTTCTCACAACAGTAAATTTAAACGGTTTTTTTAAAAAAAAAAAAAAAAAAGCATTTTTGTAACAGGGTTTCAGAAAGAATCCGTGCATATAAATACTAACTACCTTGCACGTCATTGCATTAATAGCATGTTGATTCCTATAGCCATGTGCCAACACTCTCTCATGCAGAAGGCAGTTTGTTACACATTGCGCCTCTCTCCTATGTCATTAAATTTCCATGACTCAATATTTAGGGCCCAGGTTAATGTAGCAGCGGAAGCAGGAAGACAAGGTGCCCAAGGTCAGTCACAAGCAGGTAGCTCAGACAGGTGCACCTGGACTCTCTCAAAGCACCGCTGGTCCTCCTGGCTGCATGGGTGTCCTGTGACCTCATGGCACGTCTGGTGGCTAGCTCCAGCAAGAGTGAAGGTCTTTTGTAGTTGCTGGCTAACCTATTCTCTGCCTTTTCTAGTCTACTAAAAAACGTGGCACTTCTGAGGGAGCCTGAGTCCTCATCCTCAGAGTCTGAATTCCACCTGCCATGGAGTGACGTGGAGAAAAGGGGAAAGAGAAGGAGAGAAGAAATGGAGGGTGTAAGTTCTGAAATCTATGTCAAGCTAAATACAAGAGGGGGCTTCTCAAAGGCTAGGATCTAAAGTTTTTTTTTTTAATCATGCTGTTGTCGTTGCTGTGTTTTAATAATAATAACATAGGTTATGAGCAGTTTATTAGTAAAAAATAAAAGGTGCCCCCAGGGGTACAAGTGAGCTTAAGGTAGGTCAAAAAGCCCTCTTTTGTTTCAGAGAAGGGGTTTTATTTAGAAACCTAGGCTCCTGTCGAACTTTTAATCCTCCTTGCCTCAGCCTCCAGAGTACTCGGCTTGTAGGCATGTGCCCCCGTGTCCAGCCTCAGGATTAAATTTAAACATTATTTTTATAATTATGAAAGTTTTTCAGACGTTATAGGGCAAATACGCCTCTCTCTATCCCTAACTGAAGAAACAGGACACAGAATGTACCAGAGACTGGGGCAGAGAACAAACACCAGGCCAGGGGCATGCACGAAGACAAACCTGAATCCCTGAAACTCCTTATACCATGGCTTATAAGTCTCCCTCTTTATTTTTTTCCAGCTCATCTCTTCTGGGCTCCAGCACTTGGGAAGAAACTGATCAAAAGAACCCCCTGGGCTTGGCACGACTGGACTCAACTTCCGTACATAGAGATCGTCCTTCACAAGGTTGGCTGTGCGCGTTATCTTTTCTTCCTCCTCTTCCAAATAACAAGAGGAGGTTGACGTTTCGTGGACTGTGTGCCAGCGCTCCATCTTGGGACCCCCAGTCCTCCTCCGGTTACTGTTCAAAATATCCAACCACGTTAAGACACTGGGTGAGCAGTTTGTGGCACAGAACCCCAAAGGGTATTCATTCCACCTTACCCCTGCGAATGAAGCAAATTAACTCCCAGGCTCCACACCACGGCTCCTAGGACCAAATTGAGATATTACAGCAGCACCTCACTCACATTAGAGAAAAGCTAGATGTACAAGGCTGTGTTATGAGAAAGACAAATTGCAGACAGATTGGATGTTGCTTTCTCAATTCAATCAATAGCATGATAGACGCTCAGATGCCGGACAAATATATTTCTGACCTCATCAGTGTGTGTAGCCCAGAGGCTAACATATCAAAAGAAAATGCTTGAGGACAAGAGTTGAAAGCAGTAGTTTGAGAGATGAACCCCTCAGGTCTCTTTTTCACATGAAATTTACAATTGACTAAGTCATCCAAAACCACATCAGGCAAACCTTCACTCATCAACAGGGTTGGAACCGCTCTCAGAATCGCACAGCACAGCATACAAAAAGACAGATTTGGAAAATCATCCTTTGCTTTTTTGATAATTTGGTAGGAAATTAAGGGTTTCTTTCCATGTCCACTGCTATCCACAAAAAAAGAAATATAACTGAAGGAAACACGCAGGGCTCACAATGGACCACATCATTGATCCAGTGACCAGAAATACGCCAATAAACTGAGGGCATGCATCTAAAAGGAGACCTACTCCTCAGATGCTGATGTTCTGAAACATATGTAAAATAGAGTGAAAATCCAGGTAGGAAAAGAAATCCCCATTCGTGATATGTGTTAACTACATGTTAGGAACCATTCCCTTAGCTACATTAAATAGTGCCGCAGCTTCAGAAGACACACTGAACTCCATAACCACATGGCATTACCTTGAAAATGTCCCGTCTGAGTCTGTGTAGACTGGGCTTGCCCAGCTTCTTCTGTTATCCTCATTTTTGTCTGTCCTTTTCTTCCTCAGAGGCGCTGGCACGTAGGATGGCTGTTTACTTTTGTTGGGCAAGAATTGATTGAATGGTAGGGCAGACTTTGGCTCAATAGCTGAAATCCTTCGATAGGACATATCATCTTTGTTATAGTCCTGCATTTTGAATGTGATTTCCCAGTCTGTGTCACTTTCGAAACCTATAAAGGCACAAGGACTTGCTTTACTCGCCGCCAGCAAATTCCCGCTGAGCCCCTCCCACCCAGCATAGCCTCTTCTCCCCTGGAAACCCTGTGCTGCCGCTAAAAGGCATGAGTATTTTTAGAACTTTGTCAAGAAGTTGTGATAAGACCCATGGGGAAGGGCTTGCCTTCCATACTAGAGGCACACGCAGTTCAATCTGCTGTCAACAAGTCCCCAGTCCCCTACTCAGTCCCTTCCTTTCCCAACCTTCTTTGCCACAAGGATACGTTTGCTAAGGTATAACCCGGGTGATAAAATCTAGAAATCCAGGAAGACAGCATAACTCAATGGGAGTTCAGAAGTGTAAGAAAAGGCGGGAAGCTGTCAGATTTATAGGAAGTACCAGGCAGCTGTAGAAACCAAAGGAAGACTGCACGTTTCAATAGTGACAGCCAGACCCCTGTAAGGTCACTCATTCCAACAAGGACACTACACCACAGAAGACAGACTAGATAAAATCTGAAATCCTAACAAGTTAAAGCTTATACTCACACGAGACCACAGAAATAAAGATCTTCCCTTTCATAAGCTAAGGAACTATAATGGGAATCAACAATTGTGATTTAAAATTTACTCAAGAGCAAACTTAGCAACAACCACCACCAAAAAGAGCCTTTTTGATACATTCCAATTAACAGACAGATATAAATAAAAATATATTCTCTAGTTGAAAAACTAACAAACCCAGATGTTTTAAAAAATGGTAATAGAGAGAGTAACCATATAGACCCAAATGGAGTTCTCTCCTGCCCTGCCTCAGTGCCTTTAACAAACCCAGGTAGCTGGTAAGTGTTGCTTGCTTCCTCCCAGCTGCAGAGGGCAACTCCACTTAGCTCAGGGCTAATGGCTTAGCACACCTTCCAGGTTAACTTGACCTAAAGGCCACTTGCCTTGTCACCTGCCAGGCGGAATGTACAGTAAACAATGCCAGTATGGTTGAAAGGAAGTGGTCGGTCTGACACAGCTGTGTCACAGGTCGGGTGCAGGGGCAGTGAGAGCAGAAAGGGAGAATGGCTTGGCAGGCATGGCCAGGAAGACCAGAAGGCAGGAAGAAAACATGAAGCTATTTCTGTTTTCTTTTGCTTTGCTTTCTTTTTAACATGTCCTAATTGAGTGAGTGAGTGAGAGAGAGAGAGAGAGAGAGAGAGAGAGAGAGAGAGAGACAGAGACAGAGACAGAGACAGAGAGACAGAGACAGAGAGACAGAGAGAGAGACAGGGAAGGAGCGAGGGAGAGAGAGAGGAAGAGAGCGAACAAACTTTTCCTTACCAAAACTGATTCAAGGAATATGAAAATCATAGACTATTTGACTGTCGAAATTTTAAACTTAAAAATCTTTCTTTTAGCTAATACACTTTTTATTTGTACAAATATCACACTTGCTATGTTTTTATACAAAACTCATGAACTGCACAATTTCTAATCCTAAAAATATTATCCTAATTACGGTTACCACCCACTATAATTGTGTGGGCGGCAGCATTTTTAATAGAGTAATCACAGAAAAGCTTCGCTCTCCTGAAACCACTTCCCTCCCACCACCCTACTTATAATTGCCCAGACATCTACAGTCCCTAAACAAGGTCCCCTTGTAATGTGACCCTGTGGCCTTCTGCTTACATCACACATCAGGTATGGGCCCCTGTGTCAAAGGAGACTCAGATCTTGCTCCACAGAGTCTCTATATTTTGAGGACAAATCCACACAGGCCGCAAACCCACAACCTTTCCTGCTGCTATTCTTCGACAGGCAAATGCAAGTTCAAACACAGCATGCCGTAAGTTCCTCGGTCAGTGAAAAGGAACATAGTGGGCTGACATTTTCAGTCTCGGGTTACAACTTTAATTACTCGGATGAACTGCAAACTTAGATTTATTTCCTTACAGATACGGTCATTTTCATCTGAGCCCTGAAAACGCCATACCTCGGTAGGGAAGGGCCAACAAAAACAGTGGCAGTAACAAAGGTCAGTTCTAAAGCCATTCAATATTTCTACTATCGCTGCTCTAAAAGTCAAAGAATTGAGTTTTGCTGTCATGCTTCAGTGACTTTTAGAAAACAAACTTATTATTGGTGATATCTGAGATTTTGCGTAGTGAAAGTCTGAGGCAAAATATTTCTGTCCGCAATCAACAAACCGAAAAGCCTCAAAAGATGGAGCACAAGCTCACAATCAGAGATCCCATTTCACTTCTGATAGTGATGATGTTTAAAGCAAAGAAATACTTTAAAAGGAGAAACCTGGTCTTGGAAGTGCTGGGGTTTAACTTCGAGAGTCTCCTGTATGTTGGCCATGGGTTCTATGGATTTAAAATGTTATCTGTGGTTTCTGGTAAAATTAAGACAAGAAAGAAACCTACTTGGAAAGTAAACTATTCACAGACCCTTATGCACTTCGTGCTTAGATACGTGAGGTATCTTATTAGATACCTTATTAGATAGCTTATTAGCCTTATTAGATAGCTATTGCTAAGCCTCTGTCTGAAGACTTTCTCACTGACAAAATTCAGTCACAGTGAACTATCTCCTCACAAGTCCTGTCCAAATATAGAAGTTTAAAAAAGGGGGGAGGGGGACTGGAATTACTCTGAGGTATGAGGGAGGGAAAAGCCAAAAATAACATTTAAAAACCACCTAATTATATGGATTTATTAAGATCGACATCTTGATGAATCTTTGAAATGATTGCATTCCATACTTTGTCTCCTCTGCTATTTTCTCTTCAAATACAAACAAGCCAAATAAGCCTACATCCCAAGACACAACTCACCTTCCTTCCCACCTCTGAGCGTGAGATCTGAGGAGCAGCTGGTCAGTGATCTAGACCCCAAGGAGTCCAAGCTTTCAAAGGAATCTTCCCTCCTATGGCTGCCTGAGGGGGCAGGAAATTCTCCTCTGTCGGGACACCAGATATCCCCGTAGCCACTGTCGCGGCCACTTCTTTTCAGGCAGCTAGAATCTTCAAGAGCCTGAAGGAGAAACATTGTACAAAGACCAGTGAGTGAACATGAACTTTCTGGAGGGCAAAAGCGCTCATTAATTAGGGAGAGAAGTTGACAGGATTTTCTTGTTCAACAAAAGAAAAAAAAATGTTAAAAGCACATCTTTTTTTTTTCCTCCACAAACTGTACGATAGGGGGTTATTCAAAAATTCCACATAAGATACCTGAAATTATTTAATAAAGTAGTTATATAATCAATACACAAGATAGAATACTAATAAAAACAGCCCGGAAATGCTGGTCAATGATTTATATTTTTGCCTGATAGAAGAGATGAAAAAAAAAATCAAAGAGAAAGCCATCCCAATGTAAACACCCAAAAGGGAGGCACATCTTGAAAATGTGTCATTCTCTCTCCAGGATTTCTCTGAGGTGGTGTATGTTAAACATAGGACCAGAGTGACGTTCTGTTGTCCTATCTGCCCTCAAAAGAAATCCACTATCTTAAAGAGCAGTGAGGATACACATCGTGGAATTTGTTTATTTCACTGATTACACTGATTATGCAACTTACATTGAGACGCTGGCAATATTGAGTCAAGGGTAGCACACATGCTTGCTGGTATATAAAACTTTCCTTCCTTCGATGGAAAGAAAATAGCTATTTGGCTCTTATACAAATAAGAAATACGTGAAAATAGGGCAAAAGATATCCCATCTAGGTGTATAGTTTTCGTAGAACTTTCCCAAAACAAGCCATTTTAATTAACACACCTCTGAAATATAGTGAACCTAGCTGACCTTTGAAAAATTAGGACCTAAAAGAAAATCAACAAAGTTAATCTCAGGTGACGAGTAAAGAACATAAGAATAACAAAATATAACATGCAAACTTGGATTGAATCATGATTTAACTTTTAAAAACTATGAAAAATAGCTGAGGGACCACATAAAATAGACTCAATAATCTATTAATTGAGGATTAATTTTGATGAGATTTCTTAAGTGCTATTATAGCCATGCAGAAAAATATTCTTACTCTTTAGAGATGGACTCAGTGAATACAGGAGTGAGGCAAGGCATCTCAATTCATCTTCAAATGGTTAAGTGAAAACACGGGCAGCTGGGCAGACATTATTATGGAAAGCCAAAGTGGAAACACTCCATCAGGTAATAATGAGGTGAGTTTGCAGGTTATTGTCTCGGTATTTTATCACAAACACTTTCAACAGATGAAGCAGGGCTGGCTAGTGCTCATGACCAGCAGCCAGCAGCTGTTTGAAGCAGACTTCTGCCTCAGATCCATCAGCTTGTGAGCCAATGTCTGGCAAGTGTTTGAAATGCCAAGAATGGCTAGTACAAAAATTCGGTATTAGCATTGAACTTGACAACTTGGCATGGAAATGCCAGGGTCTACCTTTTCACCTGCCACTTGCAACCAAATGGGGAAGCCAAGCTTAGTGTCAACAGGCTAATTCTCAAAATATAAGATCAACATTTTAAAGTCAATCTTTAGTTCCATCAGGTCTCTTGAACACATACTTTTTGAAACCTCAGAGTTAACACAGTTTGACCTCTGATATCATCAATGTTAATATGACTGACAATGAGTCATGTAACCTATTATAAATAACTCAAGTCTGCCCCTGCAGTCTAATTTTTGAGGACTTCACCCTAACAGGTTCCCCCCAAGGTGAGTCATCCCCAGTTTATAATCTGACTCAAATATAGCACCTTCTACTGAGTATTGTTTCAATGCTATTTCCGATTGGCTTTATCATTGCAAGTGAATTGTCAAAGTACACTTGACACAACACCTTCATCTTAAAAGAACTGAAGCAAAACAAATGATAGGTTCACAGGCCTCTTGTGTCTACTCCCACCAGGTAAAGGAAGAATAGGACCACAATCACAGTCTTATCTACAAAAAAAATAAATAAATAAATAAATAAAATAAAGTCTTTGGACCATCCTGACTTTTATATGGACGACTGTGAACAGCCTTTAAAGAGGCATTCCTAGTACAAACTGCACTGCGATTGTTCGTCCTGAGTCATTGCCATAAAAAGTGGGAAAGTCTATAAAGAGCACTAGTCCACAAGCCCGTGGCCCCTGTATCTTATAACTGCAGAGTTCCTGGGTCCAAAGAGCTGTGAAGCCAGGTTTCCCTTGTACCCCACAACTCCCTGCAATTCTCTCACCAGAGCCTCACCCTCTTCATGGCAGGGATGGATCTGCTTCCTAATCTAAGGCAGGTATGCTTGCTGGTAGATGAGTCAGTCACTCTCCAACATACAGCACACTATGAATGTGTGGCACTACTGTCTCAGCTAATTCATCCAAAACAGTGGATACAGAACTGTACTTTTCTGATTGTTCATGTACACTAACACTACACATGTGTGGCAGCACATATGTGTGTGAGTGTTCATGCACATGCAAGCGCAAGCATGCGTGTGTAGAGGTCAAAGGTCATTCTCCAGTGTTGTTTTGTCGTTTTATGTTTCTGAAGATGAAAACGGGGTGCCTTACTAGTTTGTTGTTTCCCAAGTAGATTATACAACCTTGCCGGGGAGCCCCAGAAATCCTCCTGTCCTTGCCTCCTCTGTGCTGGGATTACAAGTGTGTATCACCACACTCTGCTTTATTGCATGGATTCGGGGGTCAGACTCATGTCCGCATGCTTGCACGAGCATTTACCACCTGAGCTGTCTTCCCAGAGATAAAAAGCTATCAAGTCCTTACAATTAAAGGAAATAAGTGTGTAATCCCATCTCTCTTTATAATATGCACATGGCCGGTATTTTTAAAGACATGGATAGATATAGGCGAAGGCAATAATTTTTATCATGTCCAAATACTTTTCTGTTCTAATCATAACTAACATTTATTTCATCCTCATTGTGAGAATGAAATGTGTCAGAAACATTCAATATGTTTTGTATTTAATCATCAGAAAAATCTCACAAAGCAAGTACTAAGTACTAATATATAGATAGTATTTTATCATTTTGAGCATTTATCTTCTTCCAATTATTATAAATGCTCTGGTTGAATAGTTACACAGAGAAATTAGTTTTCCACTGGGATCCTATAAATGAAGATTTCCTTGACAAAGCAGAAATCACTATATTTTTCCCTCAGTGCTTGGCCCTTCTCAAATAGTGCACAAGGCTTAAAAGTCTGTTACAATGATCCCGGGATATAAATGAACAAAATCAAAGAGAAAAACAAGAGCTCTGGGCTTGGCAGTTAAGAGCACCTGCTGCTCTAGTTCAGTTCCCAGCAACCACGTCAGGCAGCTTGCAATCCTGCATTACTCCAGGGCACCTGAGAACCTATTCTGGCCACCAAGGTCACTAGCATTCTTATATGTATACGTGTGTGTGTTTGTGTGTGTGTGTGTGTGTGATTACAAATAAAAAACTAAAAGTGAAAAAACAAGGGTTCTAACTTTAAAATCTCCCTAGGAGACAACCAAAAGTCATGCCTTCGAAATTCCAGCAGTTGGGAGATAGAGGCAGGAGGATTAGGAATTCAAATATCACCCTGGATACATAGCAAGTTCTGAATAGCCTAGATTACTTGAGAGTGTCTTAAAACAAAAAAACAAAAACCATTATCAAGTTCCACTTAATACGTATTATTCCTCAGTGAACACTGGCTGCATGGAGATATTGGAATGAGGTCACTAGATAATTACCCATGACAAGAACAGAATAATAGAAAGAAACTCAGTAACTCCTATAAACATGAATAGCCCTAAAATGCCTTTTTACTGCAAATTGAGTTCACAGTGAGTATAGAAACAGTTAAGTTATATTGTATATAAAAAGCAATGGATGTGTCATCAAATTACCTAAAATTAAGGACATAAAATTCTATACCTTGAACCTTCGCTGGCACAGATAACAAACTTCTTGAAAGAAGCACATTAAGCCAAAGGACAAGTAACCAACCTATCTGTGTATCCCTGTCTAGGAAGGAGCACAGGCAAGCTCCATGTCTGCTGTAGAGGAGCCTTGGGAGTGGAAGGCATGAGCATGATGATGTAGGTGCACACATCACGTGATGACATAGGCACACACGTCACAGTCTTTGTTTCATACAGGTGGCGCTGGTTTCCTTACCTTGGTCAAAGCCTGGCCCAACAGAGTCTCAAAAGCTTTCAGATTGAGATAGGGACCATTATAGTAGGGGTTGTTTTGTGCTTTTCTTCCCAGCCAGTACAAAGTTATCAAAACCTAGATGAAAAGAACAAGAACAGTGGATTGGTAACCAAGTGCCAGTTCAACCACAGGTAGGCAAATTGTAGCTCATAAATGATACTTTAAAATTGAAAAGCAGACTCTTAAATGTATGATATGGAATGCAGCCATTAAAAAATCATAATTATTCTTGATATATTTTATTATTTCAGAATGGGTTCTCAGACCAAAAGTCACAGAACTTAATAGACAATCATGCACCCTACTTTTGGGAGGAAGAAAAAAAAAATAGGAGAAAAACATGAGGGTTGGTGACATAACTCAGGTGGTAGAATGCCTACTTAGCATACAGGGAGTCCTGGGCTTTTCCCAGCATTGCATGTAACTGGGTCTGGTGGTTCATAACTGGACCCTCATCACTTGGAGAATGGAGGCAAGAGGACCAGAAGAAGTTCAAAGGTCATATGCCTACATGGAAGCTATGAGAACAGATTGAGCTACATGACAGACTGTCTCGTAAAACAGGTAAGTCTAAAGTGCAAGAGAAACGTGTGTGTGTGTGTGTGTGTGAGAGAGAGAGAGAGAGAGACAGAGACAGAGACAGAGACAGAGAGACAGAGACAGAAACAGAGACAGAGAATGCACACAGGTTTTCACAGGTGTAGAGGGAACAGGACACCTTCCAGAAGTTGGCTCTCAATTTATACATTTGTTTTGAGGCAGGGCCTTCTCTAGTTGCTTGATATTCCACAGTGTATGCCTGGCACGAGTTTCCTTGTGAATCCTCCTGTCTCTGACTCCAATCTCACTCTAAGAGTGCTGCAAATACATACACACTACTGTATTCAGCTTTTTCCGTGGGTTCCAGGGATCAAACTCAGACCACCAGGCTTGCACAGCAAGCTCTTCTGAACCCACTGAGGCACCATCCTGGGCCACAAGGAAAACATTTTATGTCAATAGTTTCCTGATAAAACTACCTAATAAACACCTAAAGTCAATAATTCTCAGCTTGCTTGATGAGCTTATTTTTAAATAAAGCTGCTACTTTTAGATATTCTTCTATAATTGTGCAATATCAAGGACATGGTATCAGCATATACTCAATAAGCACCTAGAGTCCTTAAGCCATCATGTTGTCCTTAATGTCTAACTTGATAATCTCCTGATTGCTCCCCTAAAACTTTGAAATTGAGTTTTATGTTTATAAATTTGATGTTTATAAATTAAAAACACAACAACCAATCTCTGAAACCTAATCTCTCCTATGCTGGAGTCAGGTCTACACAAAGTATAATATATATAGTGTATGTACTATAATTCATTGTTAGATATACATATATATGCTATGTATAGAATATATATAACAACATTTAGACTCTAACTGGTTGGTTTCTAGGTAAATTTTAATCAGAAGAGATGACACAGAGTATATTCTTAGTAAATTTTTATGATTTTACAGAACATAAAGGAAAAACTATTTATAAAACTCCATTAAATAAAACTTACATTTTTCAATCTCCTGTCAGTCTCTTCTTGCCTGTAAAAAAAGAGAACATGTTGATTATATCCATGAACCTTAAATTACTAACTATAAGTCAAATTCATTTTCATTATAAGGTCCATCAGTATTAAAATCATCTTGGATACTCAGAAATCTTAGAGCACAAAGCACAAGAATTTTTCATAGCCATTGATCTAAATATTACAGTGAGTTTTCTTAAATGACAATAATAATAAAGCCATTTGCTCCATTTCTTGTTTTATCCATGATGGTCTGATGAATTATTCAGTTTTCTGTAAGTAGTATTTAAATGCACTCTGAAGATTCTAAGCAGAAATCAAAGCACCCATATGGCAGGAAAACTGGGACGCACACACTGGGAGGAGAAAAACAAGCAAACGGCTTTGCACTGAGCTTTCCCCTCTGCTGACCACAAGTTTTCCCCCAAGGAAACCCTCTGCACACTGCTTAGAAAACCTGCACCTGCCGAAAATGAAAATCTCAGTTTTAAAAATGGGCCGTGAAGCAGGAATGAGATCTGATGGCTTTGATCCCATTACTGGTGAGGGAGAAATAGGCAAATGTCTGAGAGTTCAAGGTCCCTAGGTCTAGTGAATTCCAACCAGAGCTAGTTAGTGATATCTTATCTCAAAAAAAAAAAAAAATGCAGCCAGTAACTTTGACCTGAAGAGTCTGAATTCTATTACAGACATGCTGGACATTTTTGTTGGCCTGTAAAAGAGCACGATGCTTATGAAAACGTCAAAAGGAAGCAGATAGCACATCAGTTTTGAAGAGACTGAATAATGTGTAACAGACAGATTGGGCCTCTTTCAAGCACTGATGTATTTCCATCATTAGCAACACAGGGCATCAGTGAGAACCACACTGCAGAAACCTGAGCTAGATGGCATCTGAGCTAGCTTTTCAGCATAACTGTAAGTAGCAAAGGAAAAAATATTCACATGTATTTGCTGTCAACATATATGAAATATATTCCATGCATTAAGCATGTAGCGTGTATAACACATATCCATTCATACAGAGAAAAAGAAAAGCGAAAAACGGGTGAGAGTGAATACAGAGACGAAAGCTGAACTCAGCTTTCCAGGATCTACCACAGTTCCTTTGCACAGAACAAACATGAAACAAAATAAACTCATGCAACTCCTATCTACCCCGCAAAAAAAAAAAAAAACCAACAGGAAAACCTATAAGCACTCACACTGCTGATAGAAACAGCTTATGGATTTATACTATGATCCTATAAATGTGTTAGCATCAACTTAAAGTAAATATGCCCATAGCCCACAACCCAGTAATTCCATTTCCAAGTTAACGCTCAAGAACAAGGTTTTTATTGTTTAGCAAAAATCATACACGAGAGACTTCCCAGCAGCCTTATGTTATGGAATATGTACACGGTGAAGCAGTAGACGGCAGTGGGATAAAGAGTCTGCAGCTTCATCTGACTGTATGGCTCAGTATCACAAGCAACGGGAAGAGAAGAGTACAGATAACATGGGTAGATTAATATAAAAGTACTAAAACAAGCAAAGCAAATGGAAAATCCACCGCTAGGCTCAGCTCAAGACAGTGTTTGGTACCCTTGGGATAAAGAATGGGAGGGGCAGTGACAGAGAGCAAGGCTTCTCCAATACTGGGAATCTGAATTTCGGGCTGGACACTGGTTACCTGTGGTTTCCTTCCAAGGAATCTTCAACCTGTAAATTTATCAGTTCATGGGTGTTTTTTAGACATGAGTTCTGGAATCAAACTCAACACTTTGTGCTTGCAGGGCAATAAGTTTACCAACTGAGCCATCCTCTGAGCCCTTGGGAGTCGAGCTGGGAGTTATACAATACATATGTTTTTGTCTGTGTACTACTACACTTCAAAAAACTAATCTGGAGAAATTTCACAGCTGAAGTACTCAAATTATAATTTATGTCTTCAATTAAGAGAAAGTCGTCTCGTAAAGATGAACAGCATTCTGTTTTGGAACTCGAAGTGGAAATATCACTAGAAACTATGGTGAACTCACAGGCTTTTGTTCTAATGATGATCTATCTATCACTTCAAACAGGAAATTAGCCAAAGTACAGAAATACCATGTAGTCTTAAAGATATGTGGGTCTTGTGGTGATTCATTACGCCAATAGCCTTGGGATGCCAGCCTTAGGGCATGGCTTCCTGTCTGCCACTGTGACCACTTACGAGAGGAGAGAGAGAGGTCACACACTCTCTTGGGTTGTAAAGACTGGGTTAGGTGGCGTGAAGCAGTGTGGGATATGGTCCAAGCAACCCTGGGCAAAATAGAAGGACTCTGCAACTGGTTATACCTTGTCCTATAGCCATGAATCTGTTCCCCCATTGCACCACTTCATAAATTGAGATATATATATATATATATATATATATATATATTTGTGGTTCACATTACAGGGCCTCAGAGAATGATCCCACTTTTATCATAAGCACACTTGAGCATCAGGAGTCATAGAGCCCTTCTGAAGGCCTACCTCTTTCAATAGCTTGCAGTAATCGTTTCCAATCCATCTGGCTGTGCCTTTTTCATCATGATAAGCAATCTTTGGAAACACAAGGCAAAGCTGGTCACGTGTCCATGTGCAGTGCCCTTGCATTTCTGCCCTTCACTTTACATTCCTTTCTAAGTATGAACATTTACAACGTGCCCCAGAACACAAAGACACACAGGCCAGCCAAATTATCCTCCTATCGCTGAAACACGTAATACCAGGAATTCACATGGCCCTAGATTGCTGGAGCAGAGTTCACGCTGATGACACACACACCCCAATGGGTGGCCACAAGGCACAGCCCTAGACCTTTTAAATTAACAAGTAGAGAGAGGAAGCTCAAGGTAACAAGTCACAGCCAGAAACTGAAAGTAAAGTGTGCCTGCCTGAGTGACTCCACCAGTGCCATTGTGTCTAAAGTGGGCACGGCATGACACCATGCTGAAGGAGGGAGCACTCTAGGGACAGAAGTAGGTTCCATGGGCTATCTCTATTTACTTAGACCATTTCCTCTCAGAGTTTTCATTTCTTATCGATAATCTAGAGATAAAGAGGAAATAAACAAAGTAGGAATGTTAACCTCCTCAAAACTAGTCCTCGGACTATGGCCCAGGGAGGGAAGGCCCTCTTCTCTCCTCTCTTCCCACAAGAGCCTCCTAGTAAAGTCCTGGGCTGCACTCAGACATTTAAGTTGCAACTAGCCTAACACGACACTCCCAAACCTCACCTTACTCTCTTCTTATCCTATATTTGCAACCATCTTCACCCTGCATGCGTATGTTTTTGTGGTGCTGAGACTCAAACCTGGGCCTTCATGATAGGCAAGCATTCTGCCATTGAATAGCTTCTCTAGTCCTGCACTTTTTTAAAATGTTTTTGACAAATATGAGCATAAAAAGTTCTGTAAGGTTCTGCTCACTGCTCTCTCTAGCACAAGAATAAAGAGTATCTACCTACTTGGAAACACATAAAAATATTTCATATGCTCAGCATAATGCAAGACATACAAATGTTCCCATTCATGGAATGCTTTTGTCTGACTTTGGAAAGGCAAGTTGTCAAGAAAAGGTTTAAAACAAATACCCAAAACAGTGATTCTCAACCTTCCTAATATTTCAACCCTTTAATAGTTTCTTGTGTCGTGGCGACCCCCTCAACCATAAAATTATTTTTGTTGCTACTTCATAATTGTAATTTTACTACTGTTATGAATTATAATGTAAATATATGTGTTTTTCAATGATCTTAAGTGGCCCCTGCCAAAGGGTCGGTCGACCACAAAAGGGGTAGTGACCCACAGGTTGAGAACCACTGACCTAGGCACTCTTTTTGTTATTATTATTTATTTATTTATTAAAGATTTCTGCCTCCTCCCTGCCACCGCCTCCCATTTCCCTCCCCCTCCCCCAATCAAGTCCCCCTCCCTAGTCAGCCTAAAGAGCACCCAGGGTTCCCTGCCCTGTGGGAAGTCCAAGGACCACCCACCTCCATCCAGGTCCAGTAAGGTGAGCATCCAAACTGCCTAGGCTCCCACAAAGCCAGTACGTGCAGTAGGATCAAAACCCAGTGCCTAGGCACTCTTGAATATTCATATGATGTTGAAAAAGAATCAAATTGCATCAGCTTACTTTTAACATTTATCCAATTTTACTCAGATTTCACTGCTGCTCACAGTTAGGGTTGAAGGACATACAACCATGA